CATACCGTCTCCAAGCAGCAGTGCTGTCCATCGGCATTAGTTCCCAAAAATAACCTTCTGTTGCACGACTCACTACAACTGATACTGACATTGTGTAGACTTCTTGGTCTATTCTAAATCCTCTCAACAACCAACTATAAATTGACTGAAATGTTCTCTCCGCAGGCCTATCGATGCCCTTAGATGTCATTACAAAATCTGACAGATCAACACCATCTGGACCAAATCTAATATTTCCTTCACCGTGAACTATCTGAAATGTGACCTTATTTGACATTGTGCCTGATGAAAACAATAATTGCGTTAACCTCGCATTTCTGTACTACGCCCTAAGTTACATTCTCTACAATATTGTTCTCCAAAATTCTAAAAGTAGGTTACATTCTCCAGATCAAACTAAACTACATCTTACAATTAACACTACTGTCTATGTCTCAATTCATACTATTATATTCTATGCTCTGGATCTACACATATGTGCTGTGTGCTACAGATATGCTAAAATATATGGAACTAAAACTAAAACGCAACATATATACTCAAACATAACATATTAGTACAAATGCAAAAGATGTATGGGAGCAAACCTGTGATGAAGTGAGCGAACCAGCAGGGCTTCGCCGCTCCCCTTCTGCTGCCCTCCCCTCTCTCTCTTTCGTTTTTTTTGGATTTTTAGTGAATATAATGAAATTTCAGAGAGGGGGGACTGGGCTTTATAGGGGGGAGGCAAAAATCGCCCTCCCCCAGGGCGGCAAGGGGGCCGCCTGCAAAATTCCATGCCCCCTCGCCGCCCATTTGCAGGCGGCCCCCGCACAGTACAAAATCGCCCTAGCGGAGGGCAGCAAGGGGGCCGCCTGCAAATTTCGTTGACGGCCGTCGCCCGAGAGCGAACGGCCGTCTGCCACGTCATTTTCGCCGCCCTCTGGGATGGCGATTTTTAAAAATCGCCCTCCCAGAGGGCGGTAGGCGACCACTTCCGTCAATTTTCAAAATGGAAAATTATTTTTGTAAAACTTTTAATAAAAAAATTAAAAATAAAAAAAATTCTGGTGGCGGTGGGTGGCCGAGAGGCTAGCACAGCTATAGACGGCCATGTGGGCCGCCTGGCACGCCGGCTGTGCCTGGGCCGAGGCTTGTCGGGCCGGCACGGCCCGACCGACGCACCGGGCCGTGCCGTGGCAGCCCACGTGCCGCACTCACGGCCCAGGCATGGCCCAACACGACTCGGCCGTGCCGGGCCAACACGAAGGCACGATGGCCTATTGTGATTTTTCTCACAATAAGTCTAATATTCCTCCCTCCTATTGGGCTGTGACATATATATACCTAAAAAAGTCTATTTTACCTCCCTATTCTTTGGGCTGTGATATATAAATAGCTAAAATAATTTTATTTAAGGTCCCTATTGTTTGGACAGTGACATTTAGTCTATTTTTAGTCCCTATACTTTGTATGTCGGGCCTGGCATGCTGGCCCATTGTGTCGGGCCGGCCCAACCGTGCCGGGCCAGCCCAGCATGCCGGTGGGGAGGCCCAGGCACGGCCCGGAGGTCGGGCCGGCACGGGCCTGACCCAAGTCGGGCCGGGCCTTCGGGCCTCGGGCCTTATGGCCATCTATAAGCACAGCATCGACGACCGTAGCACACGGGCGAACAGAGGTGGAGGCGGCAACCGCTGATTAGTTGTTGGTCGTGTCGTGTGGGGGCGCGTCCATGCGGGTTAGTTCCCCTCCCTCAAAGTATATATATAGACATATATACAACTTATATATAGCATTTATATAGGTATATATAGAATATTTATGTATAAATTTTATATACAAACTTTATACACATGGTTGAATAGGAGTGGCTTGCTAAAAAAGAAAAAAAAAGTCTGATCAGTCTGGTTGAACGAATTGAACTGGCCTGCTAAATAATGAAGCCCATGAGAAAAATCAAAAAAGAAAAAGGAAAAGCAGAAAACCGCTTGAGCCAAAAATGGAATGAGTGGAACTGGTCGCACGGCCCGGGCCACAGGCGACTAGTCGCCCATTAGCATTCTCGGCTGATGGCAGCGCCGGATATGGCGGATGGGAGGATAGTCGTGATCAGCCGGCTTGTGCGGTGGAGAATGCTAATGATAGTTTTTTGAGATTGTTGGCCTTAAGTCTATTGGACCGAATTTTAGCCTATTTGATTAACTGAGGGTTGTGGTGGATTAACCAAATAACTACATTTCAACTATCCAACGCCTCAGATGGAATTATTAACCAAAATTCTCGATCTTTTCAGTTCACTCTAATTTTACCATTCCGTTAGAAGGAAGGAGAGGAAAGAAGGGGACTATAGAGGAACAATTATAGTGGAGTACTCCCTAAAAGACTGCTTCAGCGTTCCTGTTTCCTACTAATATTCAAAAGTATGGGCCCATTCATTTTGAAGGAAAACCAAATGATTTAGATTGCTAAGGATTAATTCCTATTAGCATCATCCGGTTCATAGGAACGTAGGTATAGGAAAACCAAATACAAAAATACAAATTTTCTCTTGTAAGAGAGGAAACATAGGAAATTTTCATCCACTCGAACCTGTTGGAAATTCCTATGGGTTAAAATGTGCATGCATTTCTATTTTTTTCACTTTTCATATTCCTATATGTTAGAATAAAGAAATAATTTATCCAAAATGAATAGACCCTAAATGGATATTTTTATATTGTAAAATATAAGCTGAGATGCACCGGAAATTTCTCTCGGGGGAACAATACGACTACGCTCTAGCGCTCCTGGCTGCTTGATGCTAAGCGGCCCGGGGGGGGGGGGGCAGCGAGCCATCCGAAATTGAATGCCACACCATTTGTCAACTTATAGGAATTATTAAAAACACGAGAATGAGTTGAATGGGTCATTTTAATATTCCCTCCATCCGGAAAGAGAGAATGGGTTTTTTCCATATGGCTATATCATATTTTCATAGGCGGATGTGGCAACCGTCTGCACCTCATGTGTCTATAAAAATAGCAATTTTTGCAGGTAAGCTGCACAACTACACACAAAAAGGGTATTTCCGCATGCGGGATGTTATGCCATCCGCCGGCAAAAAGAAAAATCGGTAAAAAAAAAACTGAAACCCTAGCAGCTCCCATGTCAAGCAACCATCACCCGTCGCCATTGCTCCCGTGCCCAAGGTTCGTCGCCAGAGCAATGCGTGAGGGAGAGGTGGTAGGATCTGCGTGGGAGAGGAAGAGCCGCCAGATCCACACCTCCCGTCCCTCCCGAAGTCGACGCCACCATCATCATTGTCGCTGCCGAAATCGCCGCCGCCGCTCCTACCATCCCTGGCCGAATGGGGGCGGATATGCCACTCTTGTGGGTGCAAGTGGTGGATCCGCCCAGTCCAAGGCCGCTACCGTGCCCGAGAGGCCGAGACTGCCACCTCCACTCCCACCATTCTCCATGCCGGATCCATCATCATCAAGCTCCCCGCCACTCCAGCTCGGCGCCAGCCACTTCTGCCTACCGCCAGTCACCGACCCACCCGCCGCTGTTGCCTTGGTTGCGTTGCCAGCCGCACAAACGAGAGGGAGTGTGTGCATGCATGTGTGTGTGTGTGTGTGAGAGAGAGAGAGAGAGTGTGGAGGATGAGAGGATAAGAGGGGAGGTGGAGGAGTGGAGAGGATTTGGTATTTTATATTTAGTTCACATTGATTTTTGTAAGTGGACCTCTTATAGAGCGCCTATGAAAATCTGATTTTCGTATGCAGCCACCTAAGAAGCCCGCCCAATAAAATAAGTCTAGTTTTGTAGGTGGGTCTCTTATGAGGACGCATGAGAAAAATGCATTTTTGCACACAGGAACATCTTAGGGGCCCCTTTTGTAACATAAAGAATGTCTCGTCCAGAAAAATCAAAGTAGACTTATTTCCCCTTTCATTTGTTCCACAAAGATTTTATTTTGGAACAGTCAGTGCATTCGATTTTGTTAAAGTGGAAAACAAATACATAGGGATTTATTAAAATGGGACAAACACATTAATGTTTGCTAGAATGGATGGGAAATATATTGGTGTTTGTTAAAGTGAGATATTATAGTGTTTTTAGTTTTGTATTGATACGTGCAATATGGACTAAAAAAGAAGTTACGGGACAGAAATAGTACTTGACTTATGAAAATCATATGATTTTAATGAGAAAATATTGTTTGAATAGAATTAAGAGGAGAGATGATAAGACATGGTTCCTTCGACTTCTCAAAGGAAATCAATACAATTTGGTTTACTCCATCCAGATTTTATATACAAATTGATTTATTTTGAGATTGAGAAAGTAAGTTCATATTCGACGAACTCCAAAAAGTGACGAACATATTTTCTTTTTGAATTTTTCAAACAAAATTCTATAAACTAAAGAGCTACTCCCTCCATTCTAAAATATTTAAATTTAAAGTAAAATGATAGTTATATTTGGAACAGAGGGAATATATTGGGAAAAAAATCATAAAGGGGTTTTTAATTCTATAAAATCCCTATACCAAAGTTCCTAATTAATGACCCCCTTGCTTTCAAATGCAAATTTCTTTAGTTACGTGCGAGTCGCACGTTTCGCCGTAACTAGACCCCACACAGCATACTGCATAAGTGAAGTGCAGAACTACTTTGGTACAGTATAGAATAAAGTACATTTGGTACCGTAGATGGTGGTATCGTCGTTGCTCGTGATCGTGAGCGCTCGCACCGTACGGTTGCCCATAGGTCAGTCGCAAGCTAATATCGGTACGTACTCGCTAGATCATCTGGCTATCATTGTCACTTAAAATCTGTCGTGAAGCGTATTGGTAAATTTTCGAAACGAAAAATTATTCTTTAAATATTTTTAATAAAAAATGTAAAAATAGAAAAACTCGTACCTAACGGTCCACATGCATAGTAGCCCATTGGGCCTCAACGTATAGCCCAATAGATGCATACGTAAACAAATCCAAAAGCCCAGAGCCACTTCCCACTTTTCATGCGGCCTGCAGATTGCAGATCCAACTCCTCGGCCTTCTATTCCTTCAACCACGCAAGCCCATAGTCCGGGTACAGGCCGCCGGTGCGGAGATGCAGGAGCGAAGGGGCGTCGACGGCGGCGCTGTCCTCCCCGATCTCGACGGCGGCGCTGTTCTCCCCGATCCCGGCGTGCCAGTTTCGGGTCGCCGCGTGCGCCTCTCTTCCCCTCGCCGCCGTGATCAGCACCCCAGCGGTTAGTACTCGTCTGCTGCTTATGGAGTTCTAGACACCGACATGGGCGATTTTGATTATCGAATGGGAATTGGGAAAAAGCCCTAATCCTACCGTTTCTTCTAGTTCCGCTGTCTCGTGCAAAATTATGGAATTAATCTTGCCAAGCTAGGTTGAAACGGGATGTGCAGTTTGCCAATTTCGGAATTAGTGCGGTTCCTTTGCGATTAGCATGTTACTCCCATGATAGCCTATGTTAATTTCCCCCTCTGCAATGCCAATGATAACTTGACTGTAAGAATTTGTCGCCGCCGGTTAGTTCTTTGTCCGTGCACCACGATTTTCACTCCAGAGTCCATATACTTGCGTGCAAAGTAAGCTGCGTCTCCATCTTGGTATAGTAGTACTTTTCAAATGGGAGTATTTTACGGCTAATGTTTCTCCTCTTAATTGTTTGTGGGTTGTCTATCTTTTGCTTGTTCTATCCTCCAAATTTGTTTGGATTTGGTTGGCCAAGGTCCTCCTCCGTCTGGCTATCTCTCTCGTTTGCCAAACTTTTAGATTTGGAAAGATTGACGGGTGGTGGCATGGTAGGGGACGGCAGATTGACATATATTGGAGCAAGCGGCAAGTGGTGCTCCGGATATGATTTTTCTGGACATCATATCTGCAGCAAGCGTTTTGCGAGGAAGTGCTTTGTCTTTTTAAAATGTGTCACGGGTTAACGTAGGATGCTATTACTCGCACTAGCTAATTATTTTGTTTATCTGAAAACGAACGCCACCGTTGAAATACGAGTAGATGCAGTACATCTCCAAAAAAAATAAAAAATCTTGAGGTCAGGGTTAGTGACATCTTGCAACAGGTGTTATGAATATTTTTAAGTGCAGAATATGCTACCGTGGTGGTCTTGAGCACTAGCAAGAGGTAAAGCTATATGCCACAGCATTGCCATGTAAGTGCTTTCATCATATATTTTCCAGTTCTGTGAAAAGCTAGCTTGTGTATGTAGTGTGGACATGCTTAGAAACAAATGCCCAAGCCAGTAACTTCATTAACTTTGGATATACTAATATACTTTGAAATGCATACCGAGGTAGAAAGTATAGGTGGACTTTAAATAGCTTAGCGGCGGCCAATTCGGTGCTAGGCTTCTCCTGGTTCCGTGTGTTGGAGCTGTCGACGTGTGGGTGGTGGTATACTTTTTTTTCTTTTCCTGGTTACGATCTTACGGGGTTGTAATCTTGTAATTTTTCTTCTGCTCTATCAATAGAACTTCGCACCATCTTGTGCGAGTTGTTCAAAAAAAAACTTTAAATAGCTGGTATTTGTTGTGTTGTCTTTGTAGAAGACTTGTCCAAACTTGGCCATTAGCACATCGTCTTGTAATTGACAGGTGGAGAGGATGACTCATTATGCACATCTCTATCTTGCATTTCTCATGTGTCGGTTTACAACCAAAATGCTTTGCTCTTGCAGTATCCAACCTTATTTTTTTTCTAATGGGGGCAACAGAGGGTGGTTTGGAAAATGCTTTGGTCACAGCTGAACTTGAGATCTTGAAAGAAGAGAAACTTCAGTTGCTATCTGGCAGTCGGTACTGAGCACCATGCATCGCCATCTGCTTTGCTTTCAGCATCTTCTTACTCACCCAACTTAAGGATGTAACAAACCCACCATGGATGCCTGTGGAGCAATTCTCTCCCTTCTTTTTACCTGCCAAAGCTTCCTTCCATGATGCCTCCTTTTTCCTTCATTTTTCCTCTTTCCATTTAGCCTCTCTTGGTGGCATCATGCTCACCAAAGGAATGGACTTGGCATCCATTTGGTGCTAATCTCTAAGCTGCTGGCTGTATTGCATAAGTATTCTTTAAGGATCCTAGATAGTATTTGTGGGTGTCCTGACTATAATGGAGGAGGTACCATCCCCACTTTCCTACTGGTTGTGTATAACCCCTGAAACCAATGAGCTTTGCTTGTGGCTTTCCTCGTCTGTACTCCAGCTTTATTCCCATTCTCTTATCGTGCACCTGTTCCTCTCTTCATGTTTCTCGGTGGCATCTAACAATGCTGATGGATATATCTGCAGGCGTCTTGATGCATCCTATGCTTCTTCCTTAAGATAAGAAGAGCAATGGTGTTTATTACATTACCATATTAGCATGACGAAGGTTGCTCATTAGTATATCAATATATGAATCTCTGAATTTGTTTATGACCCATTTCTTTGAGCTGCGTATACGTATACTTAATACATGTTATTTTGAAATATCTACTTAATACATGTAAAGAAAATGGAAGGAAAAGTAGAAGAGATCCATAAAGTGGATATCTATCATAAGGTTGCAGAGTTGGATTAAGCGTGTACGGACATTAGTGGGCCTTGCGGCATGACTTTGTTAGTACTTCTGCATACCTGTGGTAGTACCATAATGCAGCATTAGATTCATCTTAAACATATATATTTATTTCTTTGTCCATGCTTACCTGCAAAGTCTACAAGGCCATTAGTCCTTGTGATTGAGCAAAGCATCCCCTTCGCGGCAGTCTTATAATGGGCTTCTAGCCTTGTGCCTTATATATTCTTGCCATTCAACTAGGCTTCATTACTTTTAGGACCCATGAAGCCATGTACCTGCATTCAACTAACTGCCATCAAATGTGTTAGGTTTCTCTTCTTAGCGTCTAAACTAGGCTGAAGCAAACTGATCTGATCCTTCTTTCCCTGACGCAAGATGCTGGTTCGATTAGGTTGTATCTTGTGCTAAGGGGGCAAGTACATGAAAGATGCAGTCAACACGATAAGTTGCAAAATAATTGTCTAGCTGGCTCCTTATGGAGCTTTCTAATGGGTGGACAGCACTAACAAAAATAAAATCATCCTTTCTGCAATGGACGAAATGTGATTATGGTGCTAACATTTGACCAACTAGAAGCTACGGTATCGGATCATCCAAACTTTCTTTCATCCTATTTCAAACTAGCTGCGGTATTGGAGTTCATCGGTGTGCGGGATTTCAGCGGTATGTAGGAGCTGTTGTACTCAAAGTCGTCGATGCGCTTGAGAAGAGAGTCGAGGTAGTCCAAAGTGTAATTCTTTGTATGCCTGGTGAAAATAAAAACAGAAAACATTTGTTTCAAAAGATAAGAAAAGAATTGAAAAACATAATTTATATTTAAAAAAGAGCATGTGACTGTCATCAAGAAGTGGGGTGGAGAGGACTGAAGAGGTTGGCCTTGCTGCAGCCCGTGCCTCGCAAAATCCAAACAAATTAAACTCCTGCCTACAATGGCGACCCGTTCATGCAATCCTTTTTCTCTCTTTTTTCCTCTCCAGAGTCCAGTCCAGGCTAGAACCAGCAGCAGTGTGGCCAGCAGCGTCCCTATTGCTGCATGTTTTTGCATCAGCCGGTGACTGATGAGTGAGTAAGGTTGCTGGGCTGGCCGGCCTCGGTATCCTGGCTCCCATTAGGGTGGGCATCAAAAGACAGTGCAACGCTGCCGTGGACTAGATGGGCAAAGCAGCAAGCACAGGGCCGACCCTTTGGAAGGGCATGCCAGCCAGGGGGGCACACGTTAGTTGACAATAATATCAGTCCATCACAATTTTAGGTATCTGACTCGTCTCTTTCCCTCTCACTTCACACAGATGGGGAGTAATGGTGTGGGAGCTGCCGCTGCCGCTGCACTGCGTGGTAGAAACAAATCTGGGGTCAGAGCTGGCCTAGCGAGAGAGAGAGAGAGAGAGAGAGACCCAATGCATGATGGGGGAAGGAACCTTGTGATATGGAGATGCAGCATAGCATAGGGAAGGGCCGATGCACATGCCAATGCCACTGCCGATCAGGTACAGATGCTCTCTCTACAGATCCCTCTAGCTTGGTTGGTTAATGCTGTTAGGCATGGAGGTTTGTTGCTTGCTTTACTTTGCTCAATGGCTATAGTAAAAGTGGTGATCAAGATAAGACAGCAATGCTGCCTGGAACAGTGAAAATCTGAATTATTATCAGGGTTTATGGAGCAAAGAAGTAAAGCAATCAAGGCATGCATGCCTCGCAGGATAAATATATACACATCTCTGTCGGAACCTTTTCAGGGTCATGTCTATAATGCCACTTTGCTAAGCCACGGGTTTGCATTTAGCTTAGTTGAGGCAACATGAGCTTGGGACCCGCAGAGAGTGTAGCTGTGAATCTCTGATTCATCAGCTTTGTTGCAGTGTGCAGTCACTCACTTATGATGTTTTCACCCACACATACAGAGAGATACACTCCTATTTCTTAAAGATTGCACACATACAAGAGGAGTCAGTCTCAGTCACTGCGTCCTGCTGCGTGAAGAGGGAATAGGAAGCAAATATTGGAGAGACAAGTGCAGCTGTTGAGACCAGAGAAGGGAGGAGTGGTGGCCTTTGCACTGCTCACATGAGAAGGATCAGAAGAGTGTAATAATATAAAGGCAGTGCATGTGATGGCGATTGGTGTGGTTTGGTGCTCCTCCAGGAAACACTCATCAGTCTCCCGTAGCATCACTTACTATAATAATTAAAGTCCAAAACACATTAGCTAGCTGCACGTTAGCATGTTTATCCAACCAAGAAGGTGAGGACTGAGCAGGATATGAAAGAAAGAAAAGAAGAAAAGGATGGAAAAAAAGAAAACGGAGACAAGAATTGCTAATGGAGGCAACAGGACTACAGAAGAGTAGGTGGGCTAAACAATGGGGAGGAGGAGCAGCATCAGAGCATGGCATGGAGAAGTGTGAGCTTGGGGCCAAAGGAAAGGAGCTCTCCTCTGACGACGCCCATATGCTTTGGTTCTAGCACAGCATTAAGTAGCGAGAAAGACGGTGTTGGTGATGGCCATGATTCATGAGAAGTTGCGAAAGTCTCTCATTAGTGCCTGGAAATGAAGGTTGTTTATGCACTTTACCTGCCTTGTGCCCAAATCCCTTAATCAAGCTGTTGGAATCTTTTGTTAAAATTAAAGGGTTCCTGTACTGCTGTTAAAGTGTCATGTATGCAGTTCAAGTAGATGCATCATGCCACCTGCATATGTTGGCAGTTGTTGGAGTATATTACTGACATTATCTCTGCTGTTTTCCCATTATTATACCTGAATGTATTCGGTACTTCAATTGACATTTTTGTGTAAAATTCTCATGGCAGATGCAATAATGCTTGCTTGTTTGGTTGGGTGGAGTGATATCTGAAAGCAGGACTGCATGAGGCAGACTCTTTGGCACCAGCCTGCCAAGTTGGACGAGCATAGTAGAGTATATAATTCAGTTGCCGTTGCACCATCTCTCTTCATTGTCATGGCATCACTCGCACCTCCTCTTTCCTGTAAGGAGGCTGCTCCCCCACTTTGTTCAGATCTCTTTGGTCTCTTCTTTCCTTAAAGCACGGGGAAATAAATACTACTACGCACTGCGCATGAGGGTGGTGGGGTTGAGAGTTTCATGGGAATTTGGTACTCCTCTCCTCCCTCTCCCTGACTTCCAGCCTTTGTTTTGTCCTCTGACCAATCTCACACACAGACCAGCTCTCCCTTTCTTTGAGATTTCACTTGGTTTGGATCGATTTTATATGATCTTTCTTGGTATTAAAGGATGTCACATGAAGCTTGCCTATCCCTGTTTTAGGGTCCCCTACATAAAATCGTGTTTATGGCATTTGGATCTTTCAGATGCTGATGGGAATTCTTATGTCCTTTGTTAATTAATGGCAATGGTGAATGGTAAAAGTAATAATACTGCCAATCCTCTTCGTTTACCACGAAGAAAAGTCTATCAGCTCATGGTAGAGTATACTCTGTACGTCTGTATCCGTGGCTTTGCTAGGTGGTATTCTTTTCTTCTGAAGATGAAGATTAAGTTTTTTATTAGGTGGTATTCTTTTCTCTTGAAAATGAAGATTAAGTTCTTTTCTCCTGAATGCTCTTGAATTTTGCTCAGAAGATGGCGATCGTGCGTGCTGACTCTTTCTTTCAGCTTCAGGAAAATTTTGCAAGTGCCGTGCCTTATCGAGTGTGGTTAGCAACAACTTCTAGTTGAGGCATCCAACTCGTTCCTGAAATGCAAAGCTAATGGCATCCATTTCGCAAAGCTGATGAGCGATATAAGAAATTATGAATAATAAGCAATTGCGCAACCTGACACCAGTCTGTCTTTTTCTTTTACAAGTACACGAGAGGCTGGTGCCCTGAAAAGTCACACCGTAACTACAGTTTATATATCTATCTCTGTTGATTTAGGCTCAATATAATGCAACAACATTCACCAGCTGACAGGGTTGCTCCATCTACAAAAGCAAGGCTGGATGCTAGCTATAGCTACAAGGCATGGAGAGCTACCGGACGAGAAAAACGAAACTAACCTCTCTGCTGCACACGAACATGGTGAACAGCCGACGACTGCGCCATCCAATCATACTTATTTAAGTAAATTTCATATAATTATATACACTTTGAAAAAAGATATAGAAAAAAAATCAGTATCAAGTTCGTTATAAACTATTGTATCGTTAAACTAGAGATTGCACGGATTATTTTTCACTTATAAATTTGGAAAGATATGTTATAAACTTATAATAACAATGATAAGGTTTTGGAAACTCCACCTCCCCGCACGTAGTTTCCATTAGCGCGTAATTAATTAAGTATTAGTCTAAAATACCTTAAAAATGAATTAATATTTTAAAGCAACATTCCCGTGAAAAACTTTTGCAAAAAAAAAACGCAATGTTTAGTTATTTGAAAAGCGTGTGTGCGAAAAAAGAGAGATGTGAGTAAGGAAAGTAGGGGGAAGAACACAGTCTAAGTGGACTATGAACCCCTCCCACACAAATACACAACTAGAGATACTACATTTTCTAGTGTAAAATTTGCATTGGTATCTCGAGATATTAAAATTTTGATACCTGTCTATTTATGTAGATGCTTTCTTAAGAACCGTAAAAGTATTTAATGTGTGTTGTAGTATGATACTACGATTTGGTGGTAAGGATTTAACCTCTAATGCATTTACTCTATGTACTAATATGGCACTACAACTTATTAAATATGTCATTTCGTGATAAATGATATGTTACATCCACAATTATAATTATGTGATATTGTGGCTTATTATCTCATGATTTTTTAAACAACAATTTCATCAAATTAACTCTAACTAATTTTACATTGGCGAAGGAGATGTGAACTGTTGTGGCCCATAGCCAGCCAGGTCGATAAGATCACCAGCGGGCATGATTCTGTCGTGCCACCCCCCTTGCCATCATCAAGTCATCACTGCTGACTTGTCATGTTTTGTCATGTATGCGTTCGTGACAATGGAAGCACACACAGCATATGACAACCAAGCATATATACATAGTGATTTCCAGCGATGTGATTCTTAACCTCCCTCTCCCATAGTGATAACATCGATGCGTCTCTTTAGACTTTTCACTCTACTTTGGATGCAGCACTTTGCATTTGTTTTTTGGTTTAATTTCTCGCTCACTCTTTCTGCGAGAGAACGACACAATCGGCCGTGTTTTAGGCGCAAGCCGCGCAAGGGACCAGAAATCTGCAGGCAAATATCGCGCATGATTGCGCTGTATTGTACGCATTCTCAGCTTGGATAGAGAAGTAGAAATACCCCCACTAGCCACAATACGTAGCCATTCTTTGAACCCGACAAACAAACGTTATTCCAGTTTCCAAGCTAGCTATCATCACCATTCATGATACATCCGTTGTTTTCCTGTCATTTTTTGTTTTAAAAAAAGAGGTTAATTTTGGTCAGATTCGCGGATAGTTCTATCAAAGCAGGTCCACTGCGCCATTTAGAAGTAAATGGTTAACACCGTTCACGTCAGCTCAAAGAAGCTGTAACCGTATTCTCCATTGCAAGCTTGCAACATGGGATCCGGATGTGCCTTGTTAATTGGCAGGTCTAGCCGTCTTCTGCGTGCAAATGTCAAACCTAATTTGATAATGCCAAAGCACCGATGTCCACACTAGAGATGTTTCCATGCATGTCTCGCTATTTTGTTTTTTATCTTATGGATTTAATTTTAATTTACCAAGTTGTTAAGTCAGCCTGCTGGTCATGCCGATCATGATCGATAATCCTCACAGCTAGAAGGTTTTAAGTGATTTTTGGAGTATTCCTTTTGGTCGTTGTGTTTGGCACTTCATCAGAATTCCTGAATTTTGAGGTCAATAATTTGAATTTAAGACAATACTTCACTAATTTCAGTTAAAGATACATTTTCAATATTAAAATTTGTATAATTGATTTCAAATGGTAAAAATTGGTCAAACTTGTTATTATAAGCCATGTAATATGTAAGAGCATCTCCAACAGTATCCCACTATCATATATTCATATCCCATCTGCAAAATTGGCTTATTGGAGATTCCCAAATACCAATTTCATGGTTATTGGGGTGCTTTTGATAGATCCAATATCTCATCCCAGTATTAATGAGATCTATATGTCAGATGAAGATGAGAGAGCAGGCTTCGAGTGATGACATCTGATAGCATGGGGGCTCGAGCGGGACGAGGAGAGGAGGTACTCGCACGGAGCTGCTCTCCGGTGATGGTGCTAGTAGTGATGGAGGACCTCCCGACGCTGGTGGCGGTGCATCGGACGCAACTCCTCCAGGGTTTGGCAGGGTCAAGCCCTAGGTGTGGTGAAGTGTAGTCACAGTAACGTAAGCATGAGACTTTTTGGTATATAGTACTGGTGAACCAGATGGTTGCGGCAAGGGAATTTGGGACGGAGGACTCGTAATATCTCTATAGAGATCTAGCAAAAGCGAAAGACCCCTAACGTCAGGGGCTGACCACAGTTAGAGCTCAAGGAGGCCAAGCCGACGACAAAGTTTTGTCGGCAGAGGCTTGTTGATAATCACGGGAGTGGGGGGAGGTGGAACTCAAGCAATGGCCAAGTAAGGGCGTGGGAAAGAACCGCACTAAGGCTCGGATAGACCAGCCGATGGATGACATGTGGACGATTGGATAGTGGCCAATGGCCACTGAGGTTTAGACAACACCTCTTAGATGATCCACATGGTGTCTTCGACGGCCAGCTGAGCTGGTGATGCATGTTGGCAGTAATAGGAGAGACAACTACTTTATGTGGGAGTTGCAACTTTCCCTATATTTGAGGGAGTTGAGATGGATTATTGAGTCAATAACTTTTGGGGATAGTGGAAGGTATTGGGTAAACTGTTAGACACCGAAATCCTGAATATGTATTTTTTTTTTCTTTGATAGAAGGATATTTGGGAACTACCAGAGATAATCTTAGGCCTTCTTTGGAACAATAGTAGAATTGAACTGATTCATTAATTGGTATAAAAGCCCTACAAAATCTATATATGGTTGTGGTTCCCACTAAGAACTTAGCTAGTGAATATTAGGCCATTCTCAACCTAAAATATTAGACATGGTTTCCATAAACTCCACATCATCAAGAAAACTAGTACTAGACACTACTCTTCCAATGCAATCACTACTATTACATACTTAAATTTAATGCTACTTATCTCACATGATATCTTGGATGTTGTGTAGGAACCATGTCTCATGCAAGACATGGTTTTCTTCTATTTCTTCATTTATTCACTTGCCACATCATTTTTCATCTTAGGTGATAGCTTATTTAATGCTATGGACACCATTCTAGTCATTGGGTTGGGAATGGCTTACACGTATAAGGCTACACTTTCAATAAGAATTTAGTAATGCTAGGGATTTATTGATAACCATGGTTTCTTTAAACCTGTGATAAAGAGATGCCCTTGCACTCTTGCAGGTGCATGATGCGAATGTAATGTACGTGCAAAATATTCTGTACATGTGTCTTTCATGTAATCAAGAAAAGAAAAATAAAAGCTTAGCCTTGTGTTACTCGAGTGAATCTAGGTTAGGAGCCACACACATTCCATCCCTTACACCCTCCACTTACCCTGGTCATACGGCAAAGTCACCCACCTCACAAATTTCAGAAATAAATAAAGGTAATAAATAAATAAACAGTAATAATTCATTTTTTTTCTCCTCTGAGTGGTGTACTGGTGTAAGGTAAAGCATCACACCGGACGTCCGGCCGGCCCCCGGCGCGTATAGCTAGCGGTGGCGCTGCTC